ACCCTAAACCCAAAACGCTACACCCTCAACCCTCAACCCTAAACCCAAAACGCTACACCCTAAACCCTCAACCCTAAACCCTAAACCCTAAACCCTAAACCGGCTTGAAAAGTTCTCAGATCCGACTCACTGCTTTCCGAAATCCGCAACATCGCCAGGCTCCGGCCTTTTAGGGTTCACTTACCCTCTAGGTCCAGGGTTTAGGATTTAGGGTTTTGTGTTTAGGGTTTAGGGTTTAGGGTTTAGGGTCTAGGGTTTAGGATTTAGTATTTAGGGTTTAGGATTTGGGGTTTAGGGTCTGGGGTTTAGGATTTAGAGTCTAGGATTTAGGATTCAGAGTTTAGGATTTAGGGTGCAGGGTTTAGGATTTAGGGAAACCCCTAAACCCGAAACCTTAAGCCCTAAACCCAAAGCCCTGCAGTTATAGTATGATGGGCCCCTTTAGGCTTCTCGATACAGGCATGTCAGGTGTTTTCAACCGGCGGGCCCTGGGACCCATGAAGCCCTACCCTAAGGCTCTTATTTAATAGGGGCCTAAGAAAGCACATAAGCGACAATTAGGGTGTAGGGTTTAGGGTTTAGGGTTTAGGGTTAGGGTTTAGGGTTTAGGGTTTAGGGATCCCACAATACTGTTGGCTTCTAACCGCTAACTCCAAGCCCGCAGGCGCCAAGAAAGCTCTGGTTGGCGCCTGAGTGGCCTGCCGTCTTTGGGCTTTTGGGGTTTAGGGTGTAGGGTTTCGGGTTTAGGGTCTAGGGTTTAGGGTCTAGGGTCTAGGGTTTAGGGTTTAGGGTTTAGTGTTTAGGGTTTAGGTTGTAGGGTCTAGGGTTTAGGGTTTATGGCTCTTGGGGTTTATTTGGGGTTATCACCCTGAGGGTCCGAAGTGTAGGGTTCAGGGTTTAGGGTAACCCCTTTAAAGGTGTAGGATTTAGGGTTTAGGGTTTAGGGTTTAGGGTTTAGGGTGTAGGATTTAGGGTTTAGGGGAGTAAACCCTAAACCCCGTGTCCTTGAGTGCGTGTTTTTTTAGGTACTTGGATCCTGTGGGTTGGGTCCTCTAAGCTTTCAGGGGTTTTGGGAACTGGCAGGTTCCGTGGTGCCTTAGGGTTTAGGGGTTTAAAGTTTAGGGTTTAGGGGTTTAAAGTTTAGGGTTTAGGGGTTTAAAGCATAGGGTTTAGGGTAAGGAATCGGGGTTGAAGGTGCTGGAATCCCAGCTTACCATGGCGAGGATGCTCCGTGTGGTTTGAAAATCCCTCGGATCTCTGAGATCCCCGCCAGAATTCGAAAGTTACACCCCTTGAGCCCGTAACTCTAAAAACCTTAAGCTGGGTATTCAGCTCCACTGAAACCCTACGCCCCAAACCCCAAACCCTCATATAGGGGCCTTAACAGTTAGAACAGGGTTTTTGGGTTCTGCTCCCAACAGTCAGTCAGTCAGTTTCTTAGGTCGTTTGGACGCTTCGGGGTATTCCCCAGACCGTACACCCTAAAGGAGCCCGGTAAAAGCAACCCTTGAAAGACCCCTTAATCTGGCGAGTTGGCTTGCTATACATTTTATACGGACGTTGCTTTAGCTGCTGTAGTGTGATGATATGCGCTGCACACCTCCCATTTGGAGCCCCATTTAGCCTTCGTCGCCCCAGGAAGTCTGGATGTGTAAATCTCCTGTGCTGCTGCTGAACACTTCATAGGGTTCAGGATTTTGGAGCCATGGTTTCACGAACCCTAAAGCCCTAAGGTTTAGGGTTCACAGGTTTCAAAGCCCTAGAACCTAAACCCATGAACCCTTGACCTTAAGCCCCCTAAACCCTAAACCCTAAACCCTAAACCCTAAACCCTAAACCCTAAACCCTAAACCCTAAACCCTAAACCCAACCCTTAGCCCCGAAGCCGCGAGCCTCGAAGTACCAAGCCGATGCAGGTGCCACCTGCACATTCACCCTGTCTGTCTGCAGCTCGACGGCTCCTTCAACAAGAAGGCCACGACCCCTAAGCCCTAATCTTAGGGTTCAGGGTTTAGGCCTTTATAAGCCCTAAACCCGAAACTTGGGGCATGGGGTATTTGGGGTTAGGGTCTAGGCCCTAAGCCCCCAATCCTAAACCCTATAAACCCTGATGCACAGCAGGTTCGTGATCAGGATGCCCTAAACCCTAAACCCTAAACCCTAAACCCTAAACCCTAAACCCTAAACCCTAAACCCCAGGCCCAGGCCTCAAGCCACTGAGGCCCCAAGCCCTCCAGCACCTTGAAAAAGCTGTGAAGCCATGAGGGTTTAGGGTTTGGGGTTCAGGGTTGTGAAGTAGGGTTTCTGTTTCCTTAATTAAAGGGTCCATGTACCCAAGCAGTATATACGTTGGGTTAGGTACTTTTGGACCATAGTTTTCTCTTATGTGCAGTAACATAGGGGCCTTAACTGATGTTTGCCTACACTATTGTTGTTTTGGGTGGGGGGGGGGGGGTTGCAGTTTCTTTTATAGCTATAGTAAAATATACCCCAAAATTCGATTCTAATTATCAAGGCCCCTATATGAGGCTTTCTGTTTGGTGTTTGGTGATCTAAACATGGATCCTTCGGAAAAGTCGTTCGGGCATACTTGGGCGTTTATCATGGAGATAGTAGAGTAGACATCCTACCCGATGCAACTCCTGATGTAGTCTAGACTTGCCTAAACCCTAAACCCTAAACTTTCCTAAACCCTACCCTAAACCCAAAACCCTAAACCACTTGAAACCCGGCCAGGATTTGAGATTTCGGGAGACTACCCTAAGGCTCTCATGGGGGTTTAGGGTTTAGGGGTGTAGGTGTTTAGGGGGAGAGTACCCTGAGGCTCTTATTGCTGTTGTGGGCTCCCCAGTCAAGGTTTGGGCTTTTGGGGCTAAGGTTTGGGGCCCATGAGCCTTAGGGTAAGCCTGAAACCCCGAAAACGCCGAACACTTAAATCCATCTGTCTTCTAAGTACTTCCCCAGGCGCTGCAACAGAACCTGCAACGGCAAAACCCCCAAGCCCAAGAACGCTTGAATCCTAAAGCCCGAAACCCCTAAGCCTCAAAACCTTACAACTTACATCCTTAAACACTACACCAGAAAATTCCCAAAGCCTAAACCGTAGCCCTACATAGAGTTTATGCTGAATTTTAGGGTTTAGGTAGGGCTTAGGGTGTAAACCCTAAACCCCGAATCCCTACACCCTAAAGCCTGCACTGTTTTTTTCCCATGTGTCCTTAAACCCCAGACCCTAGACCCTAAACCCTATAGACCCTAAACCCTAAACCCTAAACCCTAGACCCTAAACCCTAAACCCCAAACCCTAAACCCTAAACCACCTTCACCGTGGGGTCCTTCTGCAGGTCATCGGCCGCGGTGGCGAAAACACTCGGCTGGAGCCTCGGATCCTCGCGAGCCGGGTTTTTTGGGCTTATGGATGTTAGGGGCTCTAGGGGATTAGGGGCTTTAGGGGTTTAGGGTTTAGGGTTTTAGGGGTTTTAGGGGTTTAGGGTTTAGGGCTTTAGGGTTTTAGGGGTTAGGGGTTTAGGGTACAGTAATGCAGGGTTCCGCTTCGATGCGGGCTTCACGATCCGAATGGCCGCATGCATGGTTCTTGGCATCTGAAACCTTACTGCTCTCCCTAAGGGTCCAGGTATCATAAGGAGGGGCCGGAATCTCCTAGGGAGAGCCCTTG